CACACACACAATAATACTCACAAGATAAATAACAAACAAATAACTAATACAGCCCAAGGTATAAAAGGATTAACCACTAGCCAAGGAATTCCACCACCAACCTAGCTAAGTTTGGATAAAGGATGCATAACACTCTCTCAAGAGCTTAATTTTTCATTCAAAGTCTGACTTGCAAAAGAGACAAATTCGGCCTATTTGTGGCCTTACAAGTTGCCCTAATACATATTCAATCTAATCTGTTCATGTGACACAAAATAGAAACTTCAATTATGCACCTTACATTTGGCGGTCAAGATTGTTACAAGTCAATTCTAATTCAAAATGTTCATGGGAATAGCAAAAAGAACAACATAATTAATCTTAAAAATATCCTATGCGTCTTCAAGATTCTTGACTTTCCCTTTTGGGATTGATGTGAATCAAGCCAACGCACTTGTTAAAATTATGGAGGCACCGAATGGATCAAGATATTATCTCGGCCCAAAAAGAAATAAAGAACAAAAGCTAATTAATGGATTGGCCCAGAGAGTTAAATACTCAAGTTGAAGTAAAGAAGCTTAATTATGACCCAAACCACCCCAATTCCACACTTTGTGACTTTCCAATCCAGCCCAACATTTGGTTGTAATTTAGTTTGTTGGGATTCAAATGGCTTAATTGAGAAATAAATTAAAGAGGAAAAACCAACTTAATACATGAGAAGTTTACTTGGACCTATGGAGTTAGCTATGACAAAGTGGTCCACCCTGTCCTTTTTCGGCAAGAGACAAGTTGACAATACTTGGGCGGCTCCTTAACCCTTTCCCAAAAGGTTAAGTCAAGGAATCTTGAAGAATCCTAAGATTTTGTTTAAGATTTAATTATTTTTGTTATTTTTGCTTATTCCCATATAATATTTGAATTAGAATTTACTTGTAACAGTCTTAACCACCACATGCAAGGTCATGATTGAAGTTTTTTTATTTTGTACCACATGTACGGCTTAGATTGAATATGTATTAGGACAACTTGCAAGGCTACACATATGAGGCCGAATTTTTCTCTTTTGCAACTCAAACTTTGAATGAAAATTAAGTTTTGAGAGAGTGTTAATGCATCCTTTATTCAATCTTAGCTAAGGGTTGGTGTGAAATTCCTTGGCTAGTGGTTATCCTTTAGGCCTAGGATTATATTAGCTTGTTTGTTTGTCATTTATCTTGTGGAGTTATTATTGTGTGTGTGCTTGTTTGACCGAATCTGCACAAGTAGTTTTGGGTTTGGCCGAATGTTCATGGTGTGTTCTTGTGAAGTTTGATGATTGAATTCATTCTCCACTCTAAATTGGTGCAAAGGTCCAGTGGTATCAGCTTAAGTTGGTAGAGTGCAGTGGCGGATCCAATTAATGACTTTAGTCCCCACTCAACTTTTAAAAAAGTCCACATCTTATATTTATTTAAATTTTACACTTATAGAATTATGAAATTTTGGGAACAGCCCCCACGGTTAGTTTGATTTCATTTTTGTAAAACCCTATTTTTAATCCTAATATATATATTTCTATTTTTTGTAATTTTTATTTTTATGCAAGAGGATCTTTTAGTTTTTAAAAGTTTTATTAGAAGTGAAAATAAAAGGAATAAGAACTGTTAGGTTTGCATTTAACTAAGGAGAGAATCTGGGCATTTTTACATTAGAAAGCAATGTGGTGAGGTCATGGTGAAATAAGAGAATCTTAGGGCGTTCATAATTCAAAAAAGTTTGTTTTATATATAAACTGGTTGTTCACCAAAAATAGAAAGAGAGAGAAACTATAAAGAAGAAAGGGAGAAGAAGCAAGGAAAGGAAGAGAAGAGAGGGAAAATGAGTTTGGTCAGTTTTATCCATTTTTTTTTTAGCACTTGAGTTTGATACTTGAGAACCAGGCTGAGATTTATGTTATTGACCTTGTGATAAATTTGCTGAGTTACAAGGAATTTGTGATTTGGTTAAGAATTTAATTCGGTTTAAAAAATTTTGCATACGTTGGTATATAAGCTTGTGAAAGTTGCATTGGTTTTAGCAATTGCACTGTGACTGTTGAAAGGGTTTTTTTCTACAATGAATCTTGTGAAAAGTCGATTATACAATCGAATGGAGATCAATGGATGAATGATTGCTTGGTCATCTATATTGAGAAAGATGTATTTCAAAAAAAAAAAAATGGGGATGCCTTTCTCTTAGAAACCTTTCCATGATGATAAAACTATTATTACGGGGTTTGGGTCTTAAAAAAGGTGAAAATATGAGTTCAGTCGACCATGAAGGCCTGATGATAGACTAAACGTAATGGTACATAAATGGAATCACTCAAGCAATAGTAGGAAGGAACAGATGACTTTTCCAGGAGGATGGATTATCATCTCAAGGCTCCTTTTTACATCTGGAAGATAGAAATCCGGAAGGAACTTGGAGATTGGTGTGGAGATTTTAACGAAGTTCATAAACACACAGCTGAATTGGCAAACCTAATGGAAGCAAATATTCAAGTCAAATTCTAGTGTCATGTTTACTTCATTGACTAAACAATATATATATATATATATATACACCCACCACCAAGACAAATCAAGTTATAATAGATAAGATAATAGAAAATAATCATATAATGTGAGGCTAGCTATAAAGGAGATTCCCTATAGTGATCTCCTAACAATAAGATATTCATTGTAATAGTTACTTTCCAAGAACTATATAAAGGATCCCCTCATGTAATGTAAAGAGTAGAGTGAAATAAATGGTATTCCTCTTGCAATCAAGAAAAGTTTGTAAGCGAAAGATAGTCTAGTTCTAATATTAGTCTTTATTTTGCTGGGAATTTTATGGCTTCAGCAAGATATGGTCTTGATAAATCAAAAGTAATGTTTGATTAGACCTTTAAGATTACATGTTCATAATGTAAACCAACGGCTAATGCAATAATTAATGCTTGATCAAAGTTTACTATCTAGTATCCAATAGGACTACCAAGTACATGAAATTTTTGCCTTTTTGGAACAAAGGTTCAAGTCCCAATTATATATATATATATATTTTTTTTTATAGCCTTAACATCTGTAACCATAAAGATCCAACTCAAAATATAGGAGAAAGGTTTCTGTACAAGTAGAAAGGATAGACTAAAAGAGGACTTATAAACTAAGATAAGACGACTCTGTTTTGCAGGGATTATTGCTTTGAAATTAGAAAACCAGGAAGACACATCATAAAATTTATAAGGATTTAATGGATCAAGATGGAATAGTTATGAAGAGGATGGATTAGATCACTCAGACTCATAATGGAAACAATCGGAAGAACTTGCTGCATATTATTCTTCTTCAGATTTCTGAACCACTTCGCTATCCAAAGCCCTAGATTGCCTTAACAGGTCTTAATACCTAGGAGGTTAAAGATAGAAACAATTGTGAATTTTCATCTTACCCCACAACCTCCTGCCTATCAAACAGACTCTGTCACAATTTTTCGTTTAACCAAAACTTAAAACTAGTCAGACTCAGAAGACGTAAACTGTTGGAGAATTTTAGCTTGTATCCTTTTTTAATATGGAAGATCTGAGTAAGCAGCAACCGTAGAGCATGCTTTAGATAATATTCCTCTCAAAGATATAGACTTAGGAAGATTTAAGGAAAAATAAACTAGACATTGAGTTGGTTCGACTCACTAGCTCTGATACCAAAATAAAGAAACTAGACTAACTTTTTCTTACAAACTTTTTCTTAACTACAAAAGGAATAACATTTATTCACTCTACCTTTTACATTAAATAAGGAACCTTTATATAGATCTTGGAAAAGTCCTATCACAATAAATATCTTGTTATTAGGAGATGCATCCTAATCCATAGGCACAGCTAGCCTCACATTACATAATTATATTCCATTATCTTATATACTATAACTTGACTTGTTTTGGTAGTGGGTCCTTATGTGTGATTTTATGGCTAGTAAAAGCTTGACCATTAGCAAATGTAAAATGGAAACCTGTTGGTAAAGGATGAGATTTTGGTAAGCATTTACTATGGATCACTAATGAGGCTGCTCTAGTGTCAAGTAATGTTCTAAGGCTAATAGCACGAGCTGCTTGTACATTGAGAACAACCTTGATAGGATTGAAAGGTACTAATAGGATTTATAGTTGATGGGGGCATTGGTGAGGAACATGTTTCTTCAAGTTGGGGTTTGATGCACAAGGTGGTGCAGGATGAATGTAATGGATGATGCAATAGCTTTGGTAGCAACTTGCAAGGATATTAGTATTTAGAAACTTTACAAAAATTTGAAAAAATTATTTTAGACTTGATCCGTTTGCACCAATTTAGAGTGAGATAATAGCATTCAATCATCAAACTTCACAAGAAGACCCCATGAACATTTGGTCAAACCCAAATACTCCGTGTACAAATTCAGCCAAACAAGCACACACACAATAATAACTCCACAAGATAAATAACAAACAAACTAACTAATACAACCCAAGCCATAAGGCTAGTTTTCCAATGAGAGTTCTACCCAAGCCCATGAAAGACCTATTGCCCAGCCCAATTGTTGAGTTGTTGGAATGGGTTCCTATCATACACCCACAACCTATTCTCACAAACTTCTCTTACAACCTCGACGTGGCAGCTGAGTTAGCATTGTTATGTCAGCTCCAACACACCGAAGACACAAAATGATTTTGAAGAGACCAACGGTTCCTTATGAAGGAATGGTTGTTCCTCACGGAAGGATGGTCGTTCCTTAAGAAGGAACGACTGTTTGTTTCTAGTAATGCCTTGGGTGTGATGGGAGCTGACGTGACATTGCCAGTCTGCTGCCACTGTAGGGTTGTAAGAGAAGGTTGTGAGATTGGGTCGTAAACATAACATTTTTCTTAGTTTAATTGAATAAAAAATAATTTAATTGGGTAGAGTACTAACACAACATTGAAGATAAGAGGTTACCAATACTTTTTTTAAAATAGTGCTTAATAGTTAAACCATCTCTAAAGGGAAAATAAAAATTGACCTTCAGTAAAATAATAAAGTTAAACAATTATACGAAGTCAAACATGGAGAAAAAGGGAAGAAAAAGAAAAAATGACGAAAAGAAAACTCAATTCAGAAATACCATGTCAAGGTGGTCCTGTAACTCCTTTATCTTTGTAATGTACTCTCCATCTTCTTCGTTCAGACCAATGGACTTTACACCTAAACATGTTCCCTCTCCTCGAAAAGGTTCTAGATTTCGACTAATGTCATCCATCAAAACCCTTTCAGCATCTGATTTGTCTTTCTGTTAGATGTGCACAGAAAAGAATGAGTTAGGCATCATAAGCAATACAACATAAAATTCATATCATTCAGAATGGTAAACTTTGCTCTTACTATTTATCTACTTATCACTACAAGCAACATTTAATGCTGACCATATAGCCCATTTAGTTATAAATAAGTTGGCAGATCAAAGCTAAAAAGCAATGAAACAGTAGTTTATTGTCCTTATAGAACTCTACAATGCTCCTAAATACTTATTTCTTTCCATGTGATTTCCGAGAACTCCAACATAAGACATGGGCTCACAAATAAATTTGTTCAATTATTAAATGCAGAGCTCGTACATTTTTAGTTTCCAAAGATACTCTAATACAATTAATTAATTTTATTCATTCACCTCTTATGACTTAAAGCATAAGATTACAAGATAAATCATTTTTATATGAAATTACATTAAATATAATTTCTCCCAGTATAAACTGTGAGAAAAGGAAATTGGTGATTTTACTGTAGAATAAAAACAATTCATAACACCAAACTAATCTAGTTTTGATCATATAATCAAAGCACATGGAATATAGTCAAATTGCATCCAAAATCAGCAACATGCATCAAATCCGCATATAACACAAGTCAGAGACATTTGAGTTGTTTTGAAAACCTAGTACATAAATGCAAAGGCATCATGCATATACCTTACAACGTCCAAAAGGGGAAAAATAAAAGAAAAAGTATAGCAAAAACGCTAAAAAGAAAACAAAAGATTGACAATTAAGATCATAGATACAATCACAAAACAGATACTACAGCTCTTTTGTTTAGTTTTACCCAATACTTCAAAGTAGAAAGATTCCAAAATTTTCTCCAAAAACCTTAGAACTTCAATAAGAAAGGTCATTTGTACAACACTTGAACTCTAAACACTAATCTGATTCATTCCCCAAAAAGACTCTCCTAAACTCTATTCTTTCTCTTCCTACCAATTATACTACCATGAGCTATAATTATTTACACAAAAGTTTTAACATTTATTTTTAAAATGGTTGAAAATCAAAGTTAACTTTTTACATGGCACATGTTTTAATAAAATTTCTCACATCATTTTCAAACCATTAGATTAAAGCATCTTGGATTTCGTCATCACCTAGGTGCATTAATTATGCATGCTACATTTATTCACAACCATTCACAATGTTTTGATCTAATGGTCTAAGTAGTGTAAGAAATTAAACGTCCAGTTAATATGTCCTACTAGCACATATTAAGAAACTTAAAATGGTAAGTTAACATTTTTTTTTTTTTTTTTTGGGTAAACAAAGTTAACATTTTTTACTTACCATCTAAAGAAATAACTTTTGTTAATAAATTCATTCGACTACTCTAAATGGTGAGTAAATAATGCCAACAAGTCATTTTAAGTTTCTAACTTCTGCACTTAAGGCACATGTTAAATATGGTGCCACAGATGATATTTTGGGAGCAATCAAGAACCCCTTTGTTCTTTTCACATTATCTTTACACTAATTTCTAAACTTTAGATTAAAGATCAATTAGTGGTTATGGTTAGATGAACTAGGCAATTGGTTTGAACATAACTTTCTTGGAAATAACACCAAATTGATAATTGCTTCTCTCAATTATATCCTCTTTCTTTCTTTCCTCATCAAATTGTTTTAAAAAAATGCAAACATTTTAGTAAAGGAGAAATTATAAGTTTCTATATACTGTAAGCAAAAAATAACATGCACCCCCACTTAGATGTAACATCCAAAAACTAATACTTTTCAGTGTTGATTGGGTCCAGGGTAACAGCAAACCATTCCAAAACGCCACCATATCCAGCCAAGTACTCCTCTCAGAAGTATTAGAATTCCGAACCCGAACAGCAAAACCTCAAATTTAAGCTTTCAGAAGCTACTCTATATAGAATAATGGAATCTTCTAACAGAACAAAGAAAGTTGAATACAATAGAACTCATTCTGTTGAAGTGAGAGAGATTGAGAAAGAAGTTGAAACCAACTGTGAATTTGCCTAATAGAAACTGTAAACTAATCAATGTCCTGTAAAAAAAAAAAAAAAAAAAAAAAAAAAAAAAAAACCTAACAATCAAGTTTGCATCTATTAAAAACAATTTAAAGAGAAAAACAGAACGGGGACAAAAGAGGAGACATAAATAACCATCAGGTGTATATTACCTAATAAAGTATTGTTTAAATTAATAGCCTATGTCATTTAATCTTAACAATTTATTGTTTTCAAATCTAAGGGTCAGAAGCTAGTGTTAAATAAAGGTAATGTTGATCTACTATATAAGGATTTGGACCTCCTCCAATTGTGTGTATCCATCGAATTTGGTTGTGTCTAGCCGAATTCACAAGGATAGAAGGTTCTTGATTGTAATGGTATGAGACAAAGCCTTGATCTTGCATGGAGGATTCTAACAATGGCAACTATATAGCCCATTTATATTCAATTTATTAACACAAGGAAGACAGCCAGAAGATACAAAAATCAAATACTCTCAAACGCATCACAATCGTATTATAATTCTGTTTATGCCATAAATTCCACTGTACAATTTTTTTTGCAGTATTACAAGAATCACAATATGATACCTGCTAAAAATCTTCCCCAAGGCAATAGTGCAATATTTCATCCTTTGGAAAGGTTTATACAACCAAGTAAGAACGCTATATGAGAAAAGGCTTTTTTAAAACTTTGACCTCAAATAAAAATTTAATGGAGATACCAACCAATAAGCCATATTAAAACTAAATGACATGCCCAAAAGAACCAATGTAAACACATTCTAGCATAGTCGATTTCACCCAGATATAGCATATTGGAAGACAATCAGAAGAGCTTTTAGGAAAGTCTATGGCTAAGATCTAAAAATTCTGCCGTACAATGGAATGGCTAAGCTAGAGGCAAGGAAATGGATCCTATTCAACACAGTCAAGGATACAATACAAGTAATGCTGAATCCTAATGAGGAATAAGATTAGCTATCCTAACTCATAGCTAGCCCATGTGAAAGCTTGGGAGTATGACACTTGATTGACCCAAAGATTCCCACTGAGTAAGAATATATTTAGTATTATTATACAATATGAAATAAAGAGGAATACATTCTTACCAAAGTAGATATGATATAAAGTATGTAATAATATAAATGCATGATATAATAATGTGTGTGTGTGTGTATATATAGCGAGAGAGAGAGAGAGAGAGAGAGAGAGAGAGGCTTGGTTTGTGTTGAAGGTAAAGTGTTTAGGGAGCTTAGCCTTATTCAAGAACAATTCTCACAAACCCTTCTATTGGGTTATATGATTAAGTACCTAAGTTAAAAGTATATGTGTACTTCTGTAAAACTTTGGTCTCTATCTCTTTCTCCTTTTCTTGTGTTGTCTTAGACTACTAAACAAAGTATGCCTATGTGATTGTCACCTATTGAATTTACCATATAGCAAGTATCCTGTACAAATTGTTCGGTAAATTACTCTCTTTATGGTTTCAAAATCACTTACAACTTTAAATGAAATTTGCAACACAAATTTTCAGCAACTGATCAATATATACATATATTTGTATATGAATACGTATAAAAGATCATTAATTTAGATTTAAAAGCCTTTGGATGGTACACGTAGTATCCTATTTTGTCATCTATAATGTGCATGAATCATGCAAGTTATACTTAATCCCAATCATCTAAGGCGCTTAGATCTAACGGTCTACCTTTGATCTTAATAATTTGAGTAAAAGGAGCCAATGGTAGTGACTAAACAATGTAAAGACCATCTAGGCTAACATCAAACAACTAAAAAGCATATAACCTGAAACGCGCAGATGAAAGAAAATCTTTATTACCCCAAACACATTGCCCATCCAACTCTATCAAGGCCCAAATTTCAGAGTTACTATAAAGTGATATGCCGACAAGTAGAATAAGTAATTGCAATTTCAGAGCCTAGCCTAATCTAAAAACACCCAACCTATCAAAGCCAACATATACAGTACTACTCTATTAAGAATTTAGAATTCGTTTGCATCTATTTCAGCTTTCAAAGAAAAAAAAAAAAAGAAAGAAAGAATTCAGTCCAAAAATAATAAAAAAGAATTTCCACCGTTAATCAAAGCAACAAACAGACATAAAGCTTCATTCAGACACTTCGTCGAACCTAATGTGTACAACTTACAGACTAAACTTACACCTTCGGATTAGTGGAGGTGGGTGTAAGCTGCCCAGACACTTTGGTTAAAAAAAAAAAAAAATTAAAAAAAACTTACAGAGGGAACATAAGTTTAGACTACTAATAATTTACAATAAAACAAAGAATTAAGCACAAGAAATAGGACAAATAAAAGTTCAGTTGTGATGTTAACTATTGTATATGTGATAGATAAGCAATTATAAACAAAATATAAATTTAATTAGCAAACAATAAAGGGCATCTTACCGTTTCAATGATGGTGATCAGTGTTAATTTTCAGCATCAATTGACATAGAGGATCACCATTCAACCATCTCCACTCACTTTCCCACTTTTTCTTTGCGTCTTGGCTGATAAAGCGAAACCGAAGATAAGAAAATGAGCTTATAGCAAACGTACCGTGATTGGTACCCTAAAAATTCTAAACGGAAATTATTTATTTCGCACTATTTTACAGTGGGAAATAAAAACTTGTCTTAACGTGGAAATTATCTCACAAAGTAGCCTAATTCAATTTTTCTCATTTTGAAGGAAATCCATTATCCATAGCTAAAGAAAAAAAAAAAAAAAAAGGTGAAAGTTCCTAGGTTAGCGTTATTAAAATTTTTTTACTGTCATTTTTTGTCCTTATACGTAACAAGCGTTAATGTTTTCTGTTGGATGAGATGGAATAATATGTCAAAAGACCAAATTATCCTATATATAAAGTGTTAAGTACATCCTGTAAATAGTTTTGGTCATCTCTTAAGGACACAATTATTTTTAACCCACAAAATGGTCCTCCAACTTGACCGGAATTAGGTTAACACTAACAAGAAAGAGGCATGCCAACACAGGGGTGAGCAGGTCCGAGTATCTGCCCAAAATCAAAGGAACCAGAACCGGGCGGCGGTCGATTCCAGTTCCTGCTTCGGGTACCTGGATATTTATGACCCCTTACTTTTTAAAAATAACAAATAAACCCTTTAAAAATTACAAATACACCCCATTTGTAACTGTATATATAAATTACAAAAGTCTTTCATCTTTCAATCCAACGGCTCTTATTCAAACATACATGTAAATAAACAAGCATGTACATGGTAGCACAAGGAAAAACATTGTCATTTCATGTACATTTGTAGACAATTATTTGAGGGAGATGAATAACATTGGAAAAAAGTTATAATAGTTGTTATTTTTTCGGAACTAATAAAATATCATAATTTTGTAAATTATTATTTTAAATAAGTAATACTACACATACATCATTTTCATACAACATTATGTGGCAAGATATAATTGGCTAATTTAAAGTTAAAATTAAACTTCCACCCAATCATATCTTGCCACATAATGTTGTATGTAAAATGTTGTATAAAAATAATGTATGTGTAGTATTATTCTTTAAATAAATTTAAGGGAAGTTATTTTTTAAACAATAATATTTTGTTTACAACTAAGTCATACAAACAGACAAAAATTACACAAAATTTATGTAAAATGACTACTTTATCTTTTTTTTTTTTTTTTTTGTCTGTTTGTATGATTCAGTTATAAACATAACATTGTTTTTTTTTTAGACCTCATCTTGTTTATCAGTAACTCTTATTGTTAAATTACCTATTTAATATAAAAAATAACTTTCTAAGTTATATTAAGTTTTTTATTCACACCCCATTTTTCCTATTTCAATTTTGAAACTTACTTTTTTTTTTAGATTCATGTTGTTATATAATTACCTTTTTTATTGTTTTAATAATATATTTTCATAAAAAACAAATATTTGACATAAAATAAAATGTGTTAACGACTATGAAAATTTAAAGTTATGTTTATGTAAGAATTAATAGAAAACTATGCTTAAACATTTCGATGGTAACAAATTATGTTTATGTAATAATTTTCTTTAAGGTTCAAAATAATAATAAAAAACAAAAAATTAAAAGTTGGTAGGCATATTTTTAAAAGCTCAAACTTTCGGGTTTTGGGCCCACGAAGAATCCCATTCGGCCCATAATTCAACCCCTTCTTTCCTGCACATTCCAAAAAGAAATATTAAAAAACAAGAATCAAATCAAATTCTTCTTGTACTCCCATGGAAAAACCAGCATCAGTATCAAGCTCCAAAGAGCTTTAGTCCGTGGGAACTTTAGAAATCGTAAAACCCATAGTGATGGGTTTCCTCTGCGGTTCAATTCCAGTTCCCAACAAAATATTTATTTAAATCTTCTTCTTCTTCTTCTTCTCAATATTTATTGGATTTTACTTGTTTGTGTACAACTTGTATTCGATCCATCAATGTCAATCCTAACTTGTAATTTCTTAACTGCTTGACGAGAGAAGAGAGAAGAGAACGGTAGGCTGGATGACGAACGACCAAGTTGAACGGAAGAGAAGAAGAGAACAACAAACTGTTTTCCCCAAATCAATTTTTCAAATTTCCAATGTTAATCGAATTGGGTATTTTGATTTTGAAATGTAAATTGCCAAGACCTCCCAATTTTTTATGCTATCTATTTCACCCCCAGTTCCTAAATGGTTCTCGAATGTAGGTTTCGATTTCGGTTTTTGGTTTTAGCATTTCATAAACCAAAACCGAACCCAAGAATTCCCTGTTCCAATTTTCCAAAACCAGAACCTATCATGTGAAGGCCAGTTTTGGTTCCTACCTAAAATCGATGGTCTAGGTCTATCCTTTAGCCATGCTCACCCCTAATGCCAGGGAATAATATTTTGCCGATGTCTTGAATTGTAGCGAAACCAAACGATAGGGACTAATTTGCAATTAACTCAAAGAAAATAAGATATATGTTAATTAATTTTATATAATTTATTATAATTAAAATAAAGTTTTTAAAATCTTTTTTCTATCACTTAATCAAATCTTTTTTCAAATAAAAAATCTTATGTATCCCTAAGTAATATCACCATTGCTTCACTACCAAATCCTCATCGGCCATTGGCATAGAATTTCTCATAGATTTTTTTTTTTTTTTTTTTCTCAAATCAACACTAAAAACCATATTCATATCAATTAAAAAACAAGTTAGAACCGAAAGTAACCAGCCACCATCACAAATCATATCCAAACCAATTAACGGAAAAAAAAAAAAAAAAGAAGATCACGACCGAACAATAACTAGTCTTAACAGTTTGTCCTTTACCTAGGAGCAATTGTCCCCCCTCCACCCACCTTTCTCACATACCCAACAAACCCACACTACCCTTCCGTCACCTAACCCTTCCATCCGTAGACGACACCACCACCCACCCTACTCAAGACACCACAGTCAATAATGTTAAAAAAATAACGAACATCAATTCATTTTTTCAGAGAAAAAGAAAAAAGAATAAAAGATTACCTTTTTTTTTTTTTAAGCATTAATCAATCAATTCGTTGCTTATACCTTGCTCTTTGACAAAGAACAATCCCGTTTTTGGGATCAAAGGACCACATAAAGAATATTACCCAGCGTTTAACACACTATTTTTACTAGAGCTGTTCAAAAGAACTGATTGAATCAGAACCGACAGGTATTTAGGGTTTGGTTCCAATTCCTACCCGGAACCAGTCGTCAACGGATAGGTTTCGGTTCCAAATTTTTGGAATCGTTACCGTGCGGTTCCGATTCTTATTATTAGGAACCGGAACCGGGAACCGAGACTAATATAAAATAAAATTAAAGAGTAGGGGGTTAATAAAAACTTTTGTAGAAAAAGTAATATGAATATATTTATATTTATATTTCATAACATTTAAAGTAAGTTGGTTTGACTTTTGAGAACCTATCTTTATAAAGTAATAGAGTTTGTAATTTTGAATTTATAATTTGTAATTTTATTTTTGTTAAAAAGTTTCAGGGGGGGTGGGGGGGTGTATTTGTAAGTTTAAGGGTTTTTTTGCCATTTTAAAAACTTTTGGGGGGTCATGTAATTTTACAGGGTAACTAGAACCAGAACCGGAACCATTATTACAGGTTTCGGTTCTGGGTACCTAGGAATCGGAACCGTCGGTTCCAGTTCCGATTCCTTAAAAAAAATGCAGGGTACCCGGAACCGAACACCCCTAATTTTTACACTATCCTATCTTAAAAAAATAAAAAATTCATTTATTTTAATATTTTTAAAATATAATCCTATTCTATTTAACTCAAAACATTAACAATTATCTTTCGCAACCAAAGTTTTAAAATTAACAAAAACACCCCCACCCACCCAAGCCACTATCACCCGCCAGCAGCCACCACCGCGACCACCGTCAACTACCGCCGTTGCTACCGTCAGTTGCCGACGTTGTAACGACACATGACCAACTGGATCTGTCCATTTTCAGCCAGATCTGGCCGTTGACGACGACCATATCTTAGCCGTTGTTTGGCTGTCAACAACGACCAAGATATGACTGTTAACGACAACCAGATTTGGCTAGATCTAGTCTCCAACAGCCACATTTGTAATCGAAAAAAGTCAGATCGATGCGCGACCAGCCAGATTTAGCCGGTTGTCTGCCATCCCGATGACTTCTAACCACCATCCGACGGTGGTGGCAAACTGTCGACAATAGTTGGGTGGGTGAGGGTGTTTTTATCAGTTTATAAATTTTTATTGTGAAGGGTTTTAGTTAAATTAACAAACTTAGGAGGTTAAAAAATAATCTACCTATTCCCAGTCTTATTCTCAAAATAACTGTTTGTTTCATTATTTAGGAAATACTATTATATTATATTTAATTTTTTTTAGTCCCCTTAAGTTTATTACTTTAATTAAACACCCCCAGAAAAAAAAGTTTAAAAATTAACAAAAACACCCCACCCATCCATAGTTGCCAGATTTCGACAACCACCGTCGGTGGTAGCCGAAATCTGTCACAACGACGTACAAATGACCGGAACTAGCCGATAATTTGCCGATTTGGCCTTTTGCGGTCATCGACGGCCAGATCTGACCGTCAATCTGGCTTTTTTCGGCTAGATCAGTGTTGGATCTGGTCGGAAAAGGCCAGATCAATGCACGATCAGTCAAATCCGACCGGTCTGCGTCGTAACACTAGATTCTGACTAGATTTCGATGGTGATGGCCGGAATTTGACACTATAGGTGGGTGGAGATGTTTTTGTCATTTTACAACATTTTTATATATTGGGGTGTTTAGTTAAATTAGCAAACCTAGGGGGTTTTTTTGGTTAATTTTTAAATTTTATCTCGTAATAATCACTTTACTCAACTACCCAATACTATTTCCAAAATCCTATCCAAAATAACAAACCAAACGGGACCCTAAATATTTTCTAAATATATTTTTTAAAAATGTATCAAAAACATCTCATAATCCTATCATATTTTCCAAAGATCCTATTCAGAATAGAATGCTATTCTAAAAAATTGAACAAACGGAGCCAACTGATGTACTTATTAGTGCATTATTCACAAAACAAAAGGAGTTAAAATAGGTCAAGCCAAGAAGTTGAAATAAATTTATTGTAAGTAGCAAAAGATAAACATGATTC